CTTAGGGAAAAAAATCAAATAAAAAATCTGAAACACTTCTAAACATTTCTGATGGTTTTCTACCCTATGTAGGAATCCTATTATATATGTAAAGATGCATTCCTTATAATGTGATGTTCTTTTAGCAAAGATGGTAATGTTATTTTGATTTTTTGTTTTGTTTTGTTTTTTGAGGCAGGGTTTCTACTAGCTCTTGTAGACCAGGCTGGCCTCGAACTCACAGAGATCCGCCTGCCTCTGCCTCCTGAGTGCTGGGATTAAAGGTGTGTGCCACCACTGCCCAGCTTGGTAATGTTATTTTTACCCATAAAGAACAGTGGCATCATCTTGGGAAAGGTTCTGCCTTTGCTTGCTTTTGTTTCATTGGATTTTTTGTTTGTTTGATTGATTGAGACAAGGTCTTGCTATGCAGCCCTAGCTGTCCTGGAACCCCTGCCTCAGTCTCCTGAGTGCTGGGGGTGGGCGCACCAGTCGCCTCAGTGTATTTAGCTTGCCATTACTTGCTCCTTCCCCTACAACAAAAACTTCTAGCTAAGACTGCTATGGCTTTTAAATGGAAAAAAAGAACTTGCTGAACTACTAAAATATGTGGCAGAATTCTACAGTTCAAAAAGATAATGAAATAATGTGACTTTTGAGTAAGATGAAATTTGGTTTTGAAGCAGAGACTTAGACCAATGAAAGAAAGTAAGAGCTTCTCAGATATATGTAAACCTAGGGGTTGAGAAGACGACTCGGTTATGAACACTGCATGCCCATATCCACACAGAGACACTGGTACACACAACATTAAGAAAATGATCATCAAAATCAAAAAGATCAATCTTTAGTCAGCCCCTCATGGGGTAGTGCATCCCTGTGCCTCCACATATTTCATGTGAAGCTTTTCCAGCATCACTTCCTTTAATCTCCTGGGTTTGGGGGCACGTCTAAGTAAATGAATGAAAGAAAATTATGTAATCTCACACATAAACTCTGTGTTCCTCTCTCCTCCACACAAATGTATGTCTATCACAGATACATACAGTGTATAAGAAACTTAAAATTAAAGCCAAGGATTCATTTTATCTATATATAATGTTATAGAAAAAGAACCCTTTAACTTTAGATAGCAAGTAGTGACATTTCTAATAAACTGCATTTGGTTTACTATTGAGAAGCTACCAAAGTTCATGTTGATGTTTATGTTCACTCCTAAAAGAAAGAATCCTTAGAGTTTCTGCAAATTTGCAGTCAATAGCGATTAACCACCCAGCAGGCCTGTTTATAGTTGAGATCAGCAACAGATGATAAAATGATGATTCGCGCATTGTAATTGTAGAACACATAGGGCTTTTGTTAGGGCAAAGGATTGCTATGGATCACATAAAAATAATAAAAAAAAAGGAATCCTTGTAACCTTGTAACTAGTTGGGCTGATGGCCAGCTAGAACTTTCAAACTCTTACTAGTTGCAGTATACCAAGAGTGGTTACCCCCTCCCCAGATTGCTTAAATCATTCACATGGATGATGAGAAGAATCCCTTGGTTGGTCCTCTCTGTCTCTTTCTCCAGTGCTTTGTAAATAAGTTTTCTGTCTATGCCTTTATGTAACAAAACTAGGAAGACTGTTCTTGAATTCTTCCTAGTTTCTGTTTATAATTTGTGTTTAGTTGATTGGTACCCTTTAGAGATCACATGTGCCTCACTGGATTAGTGGCTATACAAGGAGTCCTTGCCGCTCTTCTTTGAGGACTGCAGTGGTCTATGTAGTTTCTTTTAGAGTTCTAGCCCAGCTTGACTTAAAAATAGCTTTGAAAACAGTTAGACCATCGTGTATTTTGTAATACAGTTGGGTCTCTGCCGATTCCCAAGACAAATGTGTTTAAACAGAAGCTTTCTCATTCATCATCAGCCTCAGCTTTCATCCACATTTACTTAATGATGTTGCAAGCCCACAGCCTTGGTGTTGCAGTCCATCACCATGGAAGTGTTTCTGTCAACAGATCCTTGCTTTGCAAAATAAAATTGATTTTACAGGGAAAAGGAAGCTACCTTTTACTTTTGAAAGATCTTCTCAGTGTGCCTGAATGTCTAGATGACCTTCATTTAAAATCAGGAACTGGCAATAAAATTGAGTATACTAAATTAACAGTTAAGAGTGTGGGAAGTAAATGGAAAGGGGGAAATGCTGGTTAACTGTTTTGAAGTCATCCTTTTAGAATGTCACTTGGGAACTAGGTTTGTAATTTAAAATGTTCCTTTAAAGGCTATATTCTCCACTCAGAGATGTGGAACATTCTCAAGGGCTACTAGGAGTTAGGTGTCACAGGGTCTATTAGGGACCATGTGAGGGGACCAACAGGCAGCATTAGAACTCATAGAACATGACTTGATGTTTGGCAAAGACACACTCGAGTGAGCCTTGAGAGGCAAAGCCCCAAGGACTATATGTCCTGAGGACCTCATGCTATTATTGAGCATAGCTCTCATTGTTGCCTTTGTGGTCACCACATCCCTCATAATCTGTGGGTTGTATGAAAACTTTCAGGGGAGTTTATTGCCCCTCACTGGGCAGTGTTACAGGTACTTACAATAATAGTGATGGACTTTTTCCAAGTATTGTAATGATTCAACCACCACCCTTAGAAAGAATTTACACATGTAGAATTGTTAGTAAGGTTAGGTTAAGATGTTATTGTTAATGGCTTTGAGTTAGAAAATCTTGGGGAACAATTTAAAGTTTAGAAAGGCACATAGTTGAGTGAGGGACTCAGAGGTCAAAAAATAAGAATAATGACAACCTGGCTATTGCTGTCTAACATATCTTTCTTGCTAGAATGGATTGGTAATCAAAGGTGATGATTAAATCTCTGTACCCATTTCTGCCTTCAGCTTCCTGATATAAAAACTGATGATAAGTGGGTATGTATGTACCTTGAGTATTTAAAGTAGAACTAACTGGTGGTTTTTCATATATAAAAGTTTAGATTTCTTTTAAGATTTTTCTTTATGAGCTTATCTTTTGAGATAAATAATAAAGTGATCCTTTCTTTGCTAAATGCAGTCTACCAGCAAAAGAACTAACTGAGAAAAATACTTTGCTTGCTTACACTTTGTTAATCTATAACAAGTTGCTTAGAAATAAATGTATGTGAATTCTTGGTACAATTTGTTTTTCACACGAAATATGTAAAATATTTAATCATGTAAGGAATATGGAAATCATGCTTTTTTTACTTGTATTTGTTGTAATCATCGACTTAAAAAATAGAATGTATCCACATTGTAATTTTTATACTACTTGAAAGATTTTGCTGGGGTATATAAACCGTAAAGAAAAAAGTAAAGTTAGTTAGAAGGAAGACATCAAGAGAGACAGAAGGGAAACATCTGAGTAGAAGAACAGAACAGAAAAAAAATAGAGTAGAACAGACAACAGAATAATAAAATGAAGAACGAAACTTTGGCCCTTAGAAAAATCCTCATGTATCTGTCTGTTCAGTAGTCACCTGCTCTGCACCTCCTCTTCATTTCCTCTAACCTGCTGAAGGCTTGCCATTCCTCAGCACTCAGGTGAGATACTAACATATTTGAAATGTGTGTGTGTGTGTTTCCCTCTTTTGCCAGTCCTAGGGAGTTAAGTTTTGCCCCATTTGCTGCCCCCAGAGAATTAAGTTTTACTCACTCAGATAGAAAAGCCAATTTGAGTGATTAGTTCACTTACTCCATGAACTGAACCTCAACTAATCCTTGAACCGAACCCCTCAATCCCTAGGCTGCTGAAGGCTGGTCTTCAGAGCAGTCATAGTCTAGGAGGCTTGGCTACGTTTTCTCATGTACACTAGGAATGGCATAACACCCACAGAAGAAATCACATTATTACTTGGCCTCTGCTGACACACAGCATGATTATTTTTTAAAAAGTCTTAAAACTTGTGCTCCTAACTATCTGCAGCTTTTATTTGCTTCTTGAGAGGACTTTCCGAAATATAAATTGTATGTTTCTGATTGTAGCCTTACTTACAAGCAGGGTAGGGCAGCACCCACATGAAGTAATCCAAACTGTTTTGGGAACCAAATAACACAGAACAAGAATGACACTTTTGTTTTGAAGCAGAGTGCCCAGAAGTTTATGTCATAGTGGCTGACTCCAGATTTAGATGTAATATATGCTTTATGGGAATTACAGTCTGTTGGAGAAATGTAGTCAATCCTTGATAGTCAAAGTAACCTTGTATTTCCAAATGTGCTTTCTGGCTTCCTGTCACATTCCCAAGCTTTTAACATTAGCTTATATATGTACTCACTAATAACAAATTATTTAATATTACTTTATCCTGTTATCTGTAAACATTTACTGACTTCCTAATAGCCCTCCGTTGAACACCAGAAATATTAAGATACATATCAAGAATGGCATTAAGCTTGCCATAATTACTTTGGTTCATTTTAAGTCATGGAGATAAAATTTTTATTTATTTGAACCACTCTCGCCTTCTCTAATATGTAACAAGAACTATAAATGACAAATAGGTTCTGCTTGTTTTTTTAAAGGAAGAATTGATGGGCACTATAAACAGAAAATAAAATGATATTGTACATGCAGATATATAACAAAATGATCAAATGAAAATTCAGCAAGCAATGACAAAAGTAACAAACTATTTACTGTTTTATCATGTTAAGTAATTCACCAAGACAAGTTGCAGTCAAATTAAAGTGAGTTATGGAAAATGAAATACATAAAGATGTATTTATACAAGTGCAGACTAAATATTTTCCATACAGGTATGTAAATGAAAAGATATACAGTAAGTGCACACTCGATGACTATGCAGGCAACATGTAGTTAGTTCCAGCTACTCTTGTATAGTCCATGCACAAATCTTCCCAAAGTACATGTTTAGTCATTCTTTTAGGGAATTTGAAGGGACGATTAAAAAAGGACTGAGTTCCTTGCAAGAGTATCAGTATGAACTAGATGAGGGTGAGGGTGGTCAGTTATATATATTACTTACTGTAATTTGTGATTGTCGAGGAAGAGGTGTGGCTGTTGGTGTAATAGTAATACTGCTGGTGACTTTATTGGTTGTTTTGTTTATTGCCCCATTAGTTAAGCCTTGAGTTCTGTTATCCTGCAGGGGTGCTGAGGGGCTGGCAGGTCTCACGGGGCTGGCGACAGCTTGCATGTAAGGACTTCCTAAGTGAATGTGGATTTTATTATCCTCAGTAGTTATCACACTTGAACTGTTACTGTTTGAACGTTGAAACTGCCATGATGACTGCCGATCTGGGGAGACTCTGAAAATTGCGTGCTTGGCACTGATTTCTATTGGCTCTGGGGAGCGACCCTGCTCAGGAGGAGAACTAGCTGAACCAGCCATAGCCAAAACCTGAATAGGTGACATTGTCCGTTCAGGAGTTACAGAACCACAGGACTCTGGGGTCTGTGCTCTGGCAAAGGTTGCCATGGTAACGGGGGGCATACTTTGCTCCAAGTTCACAAGACTTTCTGTAGAGGTTTTGGACTTCACTGGTGTTATGGAGGCATTTTGGAGAATGGTAATCCTTTGCTTTGGGGTGCCACAGTTTGGTATCACTGCTGTGCTGGTGTAAGAGTGAGGACTCTCTGTGGTTGGACTTGTGATTTCAAGAGTGGCTGTATTTTGGACATGGTCTGGAGTTACCTTTATGTGAAGAGGCTGCCCAGGTGTGTGACTTAGGACTAGATCTCCAGGTTGCACAAAGTTGCCATTGGACTTAGTTTGTATTTTTCCATTCTGAGGGTGGCCCTCCTTCGATTTCATCCAAGGAATCCATAGTTTCCTGTTCATAGGAAGGGGAGTAGATGGATTGCATTTGAAGGACAGCACAGATTCCTCATTAGGGTCCTCATCTTGGTCCTCACTCTCCTCATATAACTGACCATTGATGACTGCTCGTTCTAGAGGGATGAGGCTCTTGTAGTCTGGTGGCTCATTGTCTACTACTTCTGTTTGAACTTCTTTAGAAAATACTTGAGGGTCAGAGATTCTTCTTCCATTGAGATTAGGTCGGAGGCTCTTATTAAAATGCCGATACCTTTCTAACTCTTTAGTAAGGGTTTCAATCTCTCTTCCTAAATCTCTGTTCCTGTTTTCTTGTTGATTTAGTTTCTTTTGCAGGACTGAGTAGTCTCCCTGGAGGTGACATATTAGGTCCTCTGTTGCTATGTACTCATGAATTTTCTCTTTTAATGCATCCACTTCTCTTGACAGATGGCCTGACTTGGCCTCTTCTTCTTGCAGCCTCTTGAAAAGCCTTTGCTCATGGCTGGATTCTGTCTTTTCTGCTAACTTGTACTTGGCAAGTTCCATTTTAACATGTTCCAGCTCTTCAGACAGAAATTGAGCCTTGTCCCTCTCACTAGCATACTTCCGTTCTAAGGTTTCGTACTCATCTTCTGTTTTCATGAGGTCATCTTCAATGGCTTTCATATCCTTTAGCTTCAGCTTTAGCCTTTCCACTTCTTGAGAGAGCTCTTTAATCTTATTGTTTTCTTGGTGTAATGCTGTTGTGTACTTACTGGAGTCTTGATTTAATTTGTTTTTTACAAAATCTTTCTCAATTGCTTCCAGTGATTGAAGCCTGTTTTTTAATATATTCACTTTGGACAATAGATCATGTCCTTTTTCTTCTTCTGCTTTGAGTTTATTTCTGAGATCATCTCTCTCCTTGGTTACACTGTATATCTTCTCTTCTGCATCCGTTTTGGACTTGAGTGCCCTTTTAGTTTCCTCAATTAACTTCTCAGTCACTGTTGTCACTTTACTTTGCTCTGCCTGGAGCTGAGAGGCAGTGGTTTGTAGCTTTTCTTCAGTTTGCTTTAATTTTTCGCTCATTGTTTTGCGTTCATCTACAAGCATTACAGTTAATGTTTTCAGTTTAGTTAAATCATCCTTTAGGGTGAATTCTGTCTTTTCTAGCCGACTTTCAATGGCTTCTAGCTCTTTGATCCTGGCGTTTAAACTCTCCAGTTCTTCAGCCAGCTGCTTTGTGGTCATCTTTTCTTTTTCTAAATTGCATTTCAGAGAGTAGCATTCTTGTTTGCTTTTGTCTAAAGCATCTTCTAATTTTTCCAGAGCCGTAATCCTTTTACTAAGTTTTTCAACCTCTAGTTTGAAGTCTTTACTCTGTGCTGTCTCTTTCTCAAGCCTCTTATTGAGATCTCTGCACTGCTCCTCCATTTTTATGAGCTCCTCATCTTTCCCCTCCATATCCAGCACACGCTTCCTGAGCTCATCTACTTCAGCCATGATGCCAGTGTTTCCATATTCTCCCTTGTTGATCTTTTCTTTTATATCTTGCAGCTCCTCTTCAGCTTTTCTTAAAGACCTGTTGGTCTCTTCTAACTCATCAATTTGTCGGCTGAGTGCTGCCAGCTTTTGTTGGAGTTGGTGATTTTGACTGTCCTCATTGGTGAGCTTCGCCATAATTTTGTCTTGGTTCTGGTGAAATGCTGTGGTCTGTGTTTGCAGTTCTTTTTCTAGTCTGGTTGCTTTCTGCTCTTCTTCCTGAGCTTTGGCTTCAGCAAGGGCTAGTTTACTATGTGTTTCCTTTGCCCTTGTGGTCAGGTCTTGGATTGTCTGTCTTTGAAGGGCAAGCTGAGCTGTAAGTCTTTGTTGTTCATCCACCACCATCAAAGCAAAAGACTTCAGCTTTGTCAGCTCTTCTTTCAGAGCCTTGATCCTCTTCTCCTTTTCTTGCACCTTCCTCTCCTGGGACTCAGTTTCTTGATCAATTAGCTTCTTTAATCTGAAATATACAAGAGCACATGAAGTTAGTGCTTTAGTAATTCATCAGCTGTTATTAATTTGAAATAACTCTATCAGTCCATAGATAACATCCAGAGAAGTTTCTGAATTCGATAAGGAAGGAGAATCTTTATTTTTTAAAAAATTGATACCCTGAACCCCCTTTAAAATTGGACTAGCATTGAAGTTCACTGGAAGCCTTAGAAGAGAACAGACAATAATGTTTGTTTTAAACTGTGTGTGTAATGTAATCAGTAACCTGACGGTTGTAAAGATGGATACAGACTTGAGATTTCAGTTAGACTTGGTTTTAAAACTATACCTGCCCATACTAGCTATTTAACCTGCATAGTTCTCCTTCCTCTTAGGGTTTTTTTTTTTTTGTGAAAGTGAGGCAATTCATTTAACATTATTGCCATCCTGGCATTTGGTAAACTTTTGATAAATGTTGTCATGGTGCTTTTTAAATTACTAATTCTTGTCCTGTATTAAGTGGCTTTCTTGAGTCATTGTGTATGTGATATATTACTAGTTACTGTTTAACGCCTTGGTTATTAGTTAAGATAGCATTTCATTCAGTTTGTCTAGAAGTTATACACAGCACAGATGGGTCTCTTTGTGTATTAAAACTTTGGTTTGCACTAATAAGATAGCATCCGTGAAACCACGTCACCTATGCCTTTATCTGCCTACTCATTGCCATTTAAGAGGTGGAACTAAGAGGCAACGGAATTACGGTTTGGAGCGCCATAATATAGGGAAGAACAGGGAGTTTGATAGCAAAGAGCTTGGTGAAAAAAATCCAGGGCTAGGAATGGAGAAATTGTTAGCAGGAACATAGTGAATCCCTCTTAAATGACTATTTTAACATACTATTTTTTCTTTATTTAAAATTATCCTTCATAACAGGAGGATATTTTACATGCAGGATAAAAGATCTGTTTCATGCACTTGGTTATCTCTGTAAAGAAGGTACAGTTTTAAACTTGTGAGTCTCTTAATTATACTGGGAATGGGCTAATTATAGAGGATGTCATTGCAGCTCTGCAGCATTGTGCAGAAACTAACAGAATGGAATCCCTGAAAAGGACTCGGCTTGGTTCAGAATGAAATTTGTGCTTTCTAATTCAATCTTGTAAAGTTCATAATGTGTTGATAAACCTGTTATCCATCTATCCATCTAATTTATCTGTCTGTTGTTGAGATGGGGCCTCACCGAAGGCTGGCTTCTAACTTGTCCTCTTGAGGCTGGACTTGAACATGTGGTCCTTTTTGCCTCCTTTTGAATTATAGTACCATGCCTGGCATAATGAATCTTTTCTATTTGTTAGTTAATTAACCAATTTGTTGTCTCTTATCCTTGCGCCAGAACACTTAAAATTAAGAATCTTAGAGAACATTTTTTAAAGAATCTAATTTGGGACAATCTGGGGAATAAAGTCTTCTTTATGAAATCCTAATCTATTCTTTCTGTAATTATACTTTCAGGGAAAGTAAGTATAATTACAGAAAGGGGAAGGGAAAAACCCATAGTGTAAGAATTCTTACACTTTTGGTTGACAGAATCTCCTTTTAGTTTGTCCTGTTTTGAGGACTTGACAAAAGGCTGACATGTAAAGTTCAGAAGCTACTGGGCAGGGAGCTGGGGCGGGGCAGGGCTACTGGTGACCTCATCTGTGGTCTTGGCAAGAGGCTTCCTGACTCTTGCCTTTCCTCACTTCCTGCTTGAGACACCTGGGAGCTGAGAAGAGAAACATGGCAGTTTCTTCCTGGTGGCTGTAAGAATTTTGCAACCCAGTGGAAGAACCTGGGGTAAAACTGATCTGCTAATGAGACAGAAGAGCTTTGTCCCCAGCTTTCAATTCTCACTTGATGGTGGGAACAAGTCATTGCTGAAGCGCAGTGCTTCCTTTATTGGAGAATAACTTCATATAAACTCCTGATACTTTCTTCTTAGCTTTTTAAATAAGAGCAGGTGCTGTCCCCTTTTCCTGAGAGGGAGTAGGTTTTCTTAAAATATAAGAAAGGGAAGATTTAAAAAAAAAATAGGAGAGCCTTCAAGTGGAATGACTGGATTCTGCCAGTATAGTAACAAGCAAAACAGTATTGGAAAACTTTCAGTTGTTTTATTTTGCTCAGTGTTTTCAGCATGATACGTGTCCTGCTCTTTTTCCTTTTTTTTTTTTTAACTTTTTCTTTTAATTGTTTTTATTGAGCTATATATTTTTCTCTGCTTCCCTCCCTTCCTTTTCTGGTTTTATAAACTGGCTGACATCACCATCTCTCTAAACTCCACCTCCAAAGTAAGCATATAAAACCCATGACTGCAGTGCATTTGCTCCAACTTGAGGTACATATACACTAGTGACAGTATTCTCCCTGCAGACTTAGGCCAGTTTTTTACACCATTGCTCTTCCCATTTTAATGTGCATTTGAATCACCTGGAAATCTTGTTAAAGGGCAGATTCTAATTCTGTGGGTCTGGGATGAACCTCACAATTTTCATTATAACTAACTTCCAGATGAATGTAGTCTCCTGGCCTTGTTAGATTTCTCCTAGTGGTGGGAGACTTGTATCAGGAAGGTCAGGAGATCCAGAACCTGTGATGTCTCCCCAGTAGAACTGCAGACCACATCCTGGAACTGATCCAGACACACTGTGTCTATCAGTGAAACTCTTGAATTGAAAACTGTGGAGCTGAAGGAACGATGTCACTTGCCATTGTTTGTGAACAAATACATGTGTTATGTTTACATACATACATACATACATAATACACACAGTGATTTAACCTATTTGTTTTTTTTAGTACCCACATTTTTTAAAAATTCAAGTTTTAAATAGTTACAGAAGTACTCTCTGCCATTAAATCTAAAAGTTCCCATTTACAAACTAGACAGTCAGATCATTCCTTGGAAGACAGTCTGATTTCTAAAATACGGCTGTGGAGGAATTTCTCGTGAGCTGTCACCAGTGTCCTCAGATGAGGACAGACTCTGCTGTCTGTCTAGGGGCTGTTTCTTAAGCTGCTCCTGTGCTCTCTTGGGACTTTCTGTAGTAAGTTCTAGTGAGCCTGGGAAAATTCCCTTGGTAAGAGTTTCCCAAGCAAGAAGTCTATGTTGAAAGGATTGTTGGAAAGAGAGGGCTCACTGGGCATAGCACTTATCAGGCAGATGAGATTTGGAGAGTGTAGATAGGAAATATGAATGCAGGCATTGATTTCCTTTAAGCTCCCCATGCAGCTCTGCAAAGTTTGTGTACCTTGGGGGCACATGTACCTCCATTTGAAGACTACTGTCTTGGAGTACTCATGTTCATGCTCAAATACTGACATTACAGGATTACAGGAACATTCACTGAATCCTGCCCAATAAAAACAGGTTATGGAAGCTGATTTTTATGGACACAAATGTGAGGTAATTAAACCCAAACTGGCTTAAAGCAATGTCTTATTACAGCTTTTCTTTAGGGTTTCTTTTATGGCTCAAAATTGTTTTAACTTTCTGTGGTTTATCACTATTATTATGTGCAATGCCAGTTATTTGCTTTTTCAAAAATATCACATCTGTCATCTTGAGTGTTTTTTGGTACCAACCATAATGCTGGCTTTTCAATATAAATTATATATTCAGAAGTTCCTTTCTTTTTTTTATTTATACACAAATATGTCAACTGTCATAAACCAATATTTTATCTCCTCAGTGTGACATAGTTAATAATATGCACATACAAAACAGATGGTGCCCATCTAAATGCTGTATAGCCAATCATATCCATAGAATTTATATTATGGTTCTCACCATGTTTGGTTTTGTATTATTTATGTACATCATAATCAACCCCACTAAAATATTAACTTCTTAAGAATAGAACATGAATGTAAGGAATTCATTTGTGTTTTCTACAGTGGTTACTGAGAAGCCCTGTGAAAAGAACTAAATGAGTGGGTTTCTTTTGATGTCAAATAAAATAGTGAACAAATATGCCATCCTATGGAGAATACCTCAGCCTTGTCCTAAGCAGATTTGTTCATTTGTAAAGATGATTTTTTTAGTTTAACGTGATGTGGTTTTAGGTATTTAAGAAAATGTGGTATAAGTTAGTCTTCCCCTCAGTGTTTTCTAAATACATTATTGTCTATTTCATAATTTTGGAACCTCTAAAAAACCAAGACTGCTAGGACCATTCCTTTCTTTCTTCAAATTCTTTCGCCACAGCTCTAGTCAGTTAAGAGAGGTTTAAATGGTCACATAGCTAGCTCATCATGCTCCTTTGATTATTTCAACTCTGCAAAGAAGCAGTTCTTTTACTTTCCCTCCCAGCTAAGAGCTCTAATGCGTTCTACTTGCATATTCTTTTCCTGTTTTCAGCCAGCTGGCCCACACAGGTTAGCTTACAGTGACTGTCAAGCAATAGTAAAAAGTCCATCCTCACGAATGGCACTGTGCGGGCACTGTGTGACTTCTGCTCCTACAGGAACCAAAGTGAAAGCAGCCAAGAGCTTCAATCACTTCAGTCCTCACACCTGTCCTTTAAAGAGACAGACACTCCACTCCGTTAGGATGTGGATCTTGAATTTAACAGCTGATGTTAAAATATGGCAATACTTAATTCACAAGAAAGCCTTATAGTCTAGGGCTGAAATGAGGTGAATGGGGGTGGGGGGTGGGAATCTGTTCTCAAAGAGTTCATAGAGAGGCTAGTGAGACAGCTCAGACCGTAAAGATCGGTAGTGCTAAGCCCTCATCCTTGAGTTTGATCCCACAAAGAGGGAGAGAACCAATCCCCCAAAGTTGTCCTCTTTCCTCCACCCATGTTCACACATCTTCGTCCCCATTTAGATAAATTAACAAGTTTTTAGACTGAACAGGTAACTCTAACACTGTTTAACAAAGACCCCAGAGCAAGAGTTTCAGTTTTTTAGATCTTAGCATCCTTTCACTCTTTAGCTTATTGAGGATCCCAAACTTTTAGCTGTGTGGATTTTATCTGAATTTAC